AACATTTATTATCATTTTAATTAAATACATTAAATGACAAATTTAATTGCATACCATCAAGGAAAACTGACTTTCTTTCCCTTCAAGGAGAGGTGCCCTGTTGTGTGATTCCATCACTGAAACACTGCCATGTACCGCAGGAGCTATGGTTGTAGAGGAACCCTGATGAGAACCATGCGTTCAGGTGTGCAGCTGTTCTCAGGAACTCTGCATGTCAGCCTTGTGTGCTGTTTGTATGCCCCCATCCCCGGGTACTCACTCCAGGAGAAGCATTACTTGTAAGAGATAATAGATCTTCTGAGAGTTTTCTGTGGTTTGGCCTCTACATTCCCATAGGTAATTGTAACTCCCTTATGCTTGCAACTTCCTATTTTCATATATTACATAATGTGTAACAGAACAGTTTCCCTCATGTCAGAGGACATGTCAGCCATGCCATTATGGCTCTCACTCCTGAGCATTCTTCCCCAACTGTGAGCATTATCAAGATCAAGCATCCAGCCATTGCTTTCACTTCCCCTTTTATTTCTGGGTGTCTTGGAAAGTGCCTCTTCCAGAGATTGGAGGTGATCTTTGCCTGTATCCCCAAATCTTTTTCCCTGGCTTTGCAGTCAAAATATTTCTCACCATTTTTTTTTTAAACATTGACTCTTACACTATGTATGATGAAAGAAGTTTTTTTCCACCAGTCTGTTGCAAACTGAATCTTTTATAAAATATAATAAAAATGACCAAGAAGTTTCTAGTTGCCACACAAAATATTTCTAAATGCATTCTCTCACTTTCACAACTTATCCCACAGTGGACCAGTTTGGAGATAGAGGACGGTACACATGTGCACACACGCACTCACTTTGATGGTATTGTTCTAAAGGTCCAAGACCATCACACAAGACTCATACCCTATTCCTCTGTGCATGTGTGTGTGTATAATTTGGCAAGATGTAAGAAAAACTAAACATCTAATTGATCAGGAAATACTTTCTTTCTAGTCAGAGTCAGCAGGGTTGGTGTCTTTTAGAAACAATCCAAGTTTGAAATTGCAAAAATATATTCAGTATAAGTAGATTCACAAAAAAAGAAAATGAATTTTAGAAATCTAACATATCACAGTAATCGTGATGAAAAAAGAAAAGCATTCCTCCTGGAGGCTGTAGGGAAGGATCTGTTTCCTTTTGCAGCTTCTAGGGCCACCCGACTCTGGCTGTGGCCTCTTCCTGATAGTCACAGCCAGCAGGAGATCATCTTCACATCTCTCTCCCTCATTCACAATAGCATCAATAATAAAAGTTTGGGAATAAATTTTTATATCGAAAACTACAAAACATCACCAGAGGAAATTTTAGAAGATCTAAATAAAGAGTCCATGCTTTGGACTAGAAGACTCAGTATTGTTCAGATAGTAATCCTCCTCCGATTGATCTATAAATTCAGTGTAATTTCCATGAAAATCATAGTAGACATTTTATAGAATTTGATAAGCTGATTTCAAAACTTACATGTAAATGCAAAGGACCCAGAATGTCCAAAATAATTTTGAAGAAGAAAAACCAAATGGGAGGAGAACTTCCTCAACATGATAAAGAATATCAACAAAAAAAACTATAGCTAACATCATACTTGGTGGTGAGGAACTGGAAGCTTTCCCACTAAGATCAGAAACAAGCCAAAGATATTTTGTCTCACCACTCAGTTTCAACGTTGTACTGAAAGTCCTGGCAAATGCAATAAGACAAGAAAAGGAAATTAAAGATATACTGATTGGGAAGGAAGAAATAAAACCACCTTTGTTTGTGGATGGTGCGACTGTCTGTGTAACAAATGTCCCACTCTGATGGGGGGGCTATGTATGTGTGGGGAAAGGAGACTATGGGATATCTCTGTACCTTCCTCTCAATTTTATGATGAACTTACAACTGCTCTTAAAAATAAAGTCTTTTTTAAAAAAAGAACCAAATGGGGAGATCTTTATTTTCTGATTTCACAATTGATTATGAAGTTAACAATAATAATCAAAACACTATGATTTGACAGTTTCTTAAAAAGTTAAACATAATTTTACCATATGACCCAGAAATCTACTCCTATACAAATAAAATGTCTAGGAAAAATAAATCTATAGAGGCATAAGTAGATTAATGGTTGCCTGGAGTTTGTGGCAGGAATAATGACTATAAAAGATCTTATTTGGATGATGGAAATTTGTTAAAACTAGATTTTGTTGATGGTTGCACAACTTTTAAAATTTACTAAAAAGGCTTGAATTAGGCCCTTATAATGGTGAATTTAATGGTATGTAAAGTATGCTTCAATAAGGTTTTTTTTTTAATAATTAGATAAAGTGGGCTGGAAAGGCTAAAAGGTTTATATCCTAGTCTCTAAAGTCTCTTAAATCTGTCCTTATGGGCTCACTATGGGCCTATGGAGTAGAGAGCTGCTGCTAATTTGATTTTCCGTGTTTAGCTTTTATATATTGCCTACTCCACTGGACTAAAAGTTTCTTGAAGGTAAAATACTGTTTTCAGTATTTCAGTATAAATGTGTTTTTTATGTATTTATATCCCATCCCCCATAGTGCTTAGTATAACTTTCAGACAGAGCCCAAGATCTTTAACTATTGGATCATTTAACTTCTTTATAATGAAATTTTATAACTTAAGACTTTTTTT